AAGTCAGGCGATCAACTGACTGAGCCACTCAGGTGCTCCTTTAATGTTTATTTTTGAGAGAGAGAGAGAGAGAGAGAGAGAGAGCAAGAGCGTGTGTACAGGAATGGGGGTTGGGCAGAGAGAGGGCAACAGAGGATCCAAAGCGAGCTCTGTGCTGACAGCAGTGAGCCTGATGCAGGCTCGGTGAGATGATGACCTGAGCCAAAGTCAGAAGCTTAACCTCCTGAGCCAGCCGGTCACCCCCAGAAGGTCTTTTATAGCTGTTTTTCCAAAACTAGAATTCAGTCAAAGTCTACATATTGCACATATTCGGCTATGTCTCTTAAATCTCTTTAACCTTAAATGTCTCTATCCGCTTTTTTTTAAAAAACAGCATTGACTTTTTGTTGATCCCAGGATAGTTATCTTGTAGAGGGTCTGGAAGTTTCCACCTTCCAGACATGTCTGTCTTCTCATGGGGCTATTTATCGTGCTCTAGCCTCTGTATTTCTTATAAACTGGGAGTTAGGATTAGAAACTTGATGGGATTCTTTTCTTTTTTTTTGAAGACTTTTTTAGAGCTCATTTTTAAGTTCACAGCAAAATTGAGAGGAAGGTATAGAGAATTCCCATACATCTTCTGCCCCCACACATGCCTAGCTCCCCGGGTTATCAACATCCCACACCAGAGTGGTCCATTTGTTACCACAGGTAAACCTATCCTGACACGTCGTTAGCACATAGTTTACATTACGGTTTACTCTTGGCTTTGTGTTTTCTATGGCTTTGGATAAAAATATGCTAATGACACATATCCATCGATGCAGTATCATGCACGGTATTTCCACTGCCCTAAAAGTCCTCTGTGCTCTATTTCCCTATTCTCTATTCTCCTCCCTTCCCCTAACCTCTGGCAAACGCTGGTCTTGTAACTGTGCCCATAGTTTGTCTTTCCCAGATTGTCATATAGTTGGAATCATACAGCATGCAGCATTTTCAAACTGGCTTCTCTCACTTTGTAACATTTAAGTAAATTTAAGACTCCTCCATGTCTTTTCATGGCCTGAGATCTCATTGTAACTCATTTCTTTTTAGCACTGAATAATATTCCATTGTTTTGATATGCCACACTTTATCCATTCCCCTACTGAAAGACATCTTGGTTACTTCTTTTTTTTTTTTTAATATTTTAATGTTTTAAAGATTTTCTTAATGTCTATTTCCTTATTTTGAGGGAGAGAGAGAGAGTGCTTGTGCACAAGTGGGGAAGGGGCAAAGAAGAAGGGGGGGGGAGTCCCAAGCAGGCTCCGTGCTGTCCGCGCAGAGCCCTCCGTGGGGCTCTGTCCCATGAACCGTGAGATCACGACCTGAGCTGAAATCAAGAGAGCGACACTTAACTGACTGAGCCACCCAGGTACCCCCATCTTGCTTACTTCTAAGTTTTGGCATTTATGAATAAAACCGCGATACCGTAGGCCTTTCTGCAGACATCAGTAACTTGTCTTGGTATTTACCCATACTGAGGAGCGCGCTCACTGGATCCTATGGTAAGAGTGTGTTTAGTTTTGTGAGGAATTGCCAAACTGCATTCCAGAGTGGCTGTGCCATTCTGCATCCTCGCCAGCGATGAATGGGAGTTCTCATTGTTCCGCATTCTCGCCCGCATTTGGTGTTGCCGGTGTGCGGTCTGGATTTTGGCCATTCCAATCGGTATGTAGGAGTATCGCATTGTTGTTTTAATTAGTATGTCCCTGACGACGTATGATGTGGAGCATCTTTTCACATGCTTTTGTTTTCTTTAAGAGTTATTTATTGGGGCGCCTGGGTGGCTCAGTCAGTTAAGCATCCATCCGCCTTCTGCTCAGGTCATGATCTCATAGTTCGTGAGTTCGAGCCCCGTGTCGGGCTCTGTGCTGACAGCTCAGAGCCTGGAGCCTGCTTCGGATTCCGTGTCTCCGTCTCTCTCTGCCCCTGCCCCACTCGCGCTCTCTCTCAAAAATAAATAAACATTAAAAAAAAAAGTTGCACACTCCTCTGACCTAGCCAGCTAGGTGCCCCTGTTCTCTTTTTTTAATTGGTAAAATATATACCACATAAAAATACCATTTTAACCATTTTTGAGTGGCATTAAGTACATTCACATAGTTGTGCAACCATCACCACCGTCCTTCTCCAGGACTTTCTCATCTTCCCAGACTGAAACTCTGGACTCATTAAGCACTAACCAATCCCTCCTCCCTCCAGTCCCTGGCGACCAGCATTCTAGTGTCCGTTTCTGTGAATTTGACTACGAGCAACCTCATCGGAGTGGGATCATACAGTATCTGTCCTTCTGTGGCCGGCTTTGGGTGACATCTTTTGCCAAGAGGTCTTCCCAGGCGATGCCGTGCACTGAAGGTGCATCTCCATTAGGAGGCTCATAGGAGTAGCCGCTGCCAGGCTCTGCCCGCCCCTGCCCACCTCTCCCACCTGGCCACCACCTGCTCCCCAACCTCTCTGCCCCAGCTGCTCAGCCCTCTCTCACCCTGCCACGGCCTTAGCACTTGCCTTCTCCTCCCTGGCAGGCTCCTTGGTATCTTCTAGATGTCAGCTCAAATGTCACCTTTTCATAGAGGCCCAAACGTTTCCCTGTAGTCACGGTCTCTTGTTTTCTGTTTGATTTTCTTCCTGGCGCTCCCCATAGCCTGATATTATACCCCGTTTGGTGTGTGCCTGCTTACCATCAGCCTCCAGCGTAAGATCTACAATAGTAGGGACCTGTTCCCTGGCGTGTCCCAGATCCTGGCAATGCACTTGGCACACGACAGGGGCTTGCATTAGTTCCCTCTTGCTGCTGGAAGACATGACCACAAACTTAGTGGCTTCAAACTGCACAAACTTATGATCTTACGGTTCGGGAAGCCCGAAGTCCTAAATTAGTTTCAGTGGATGGAAATGAAGGCGTTGGAAGGACTGTGTTCCTTCTGGAAGCTCTAGGAGGGAATCTGTTTCCTTGCCTTTTCCTGCGTCCAGAGACTGCCGGCACTCCTGGGCTCACAGTCCTGTGTCGCCCAGACTTCTGCTTCTGTCACTCCGTCTCCTGCTGAGTCTGACCCACTCTTTTTTTTTTTTTTTTTTTTTTAACGTTTATTTATTTTTGGGACAGAGAGAGACAGAGCATGAACGGGGGAGGGGCAGACAGAGAGGGAGACACAGAACCGGAAACAGGCTCCAGGCTCTGAGCCATCCGCCCAGAGCCTGACGCGGGGCTCGAACTCACGGACCGCGAGATCGTGACCTGGCTGAAGTCGGACGCTTAACCGACTGCACCACCCAGGCGCCCCCTGACCCACTCTTATAATGACTCTGTGATTACGCTGGGCCCACCCAGAGAATCCAGGAAGTCTCCCTACTTTATCCTCTTTAACTGAAACACATCTGCAAAGTCGTCTTTACCCTGTAAGGTCACATATTCACAGGTTTCGGAATTAAGATGTGGGCACATTGGGAGAACCATTATTTTATCCACCACAGGGCTCATTAAATACATGCTGAATGAATGGATAAATGAATGGATGGGCTTCTTTGCAAATGGAGTGGTGAGTCCTGAATTCCAAGGCTGGCTCAGCCACTTACTGGCTGTGTGACCTTGGGTAAATCCCCTCTTTCTCTGAGCTGCAGTTTCCTCCTTCATTAGATGTGTTCTGGGCACCCACAGTGTATCCCACTCTCAGTGGACCCTGGGGATACCAACACAAATAACAATAGACCCTCGCCTTCCGAGAGGTAGAGTTTGGCTTCTGGGAAGGGGTATGAGAAGGACAAAACCTGACATAATCTGCTCAGGCCCATGTTCCAAGTCACCCCACTGAACTTTCAAGTCCTGAGGGGGTGTGCTTACCTAGAAGGTGACATTTCAAATGATGCATGAGTAGGAGTTCGTGTGGTAGGGAAGCAGAAAGGGCACTGACGGCCAGGGACAGTCTGTAGACCTCTTTGAGGAACTATGGGGAGTGTGGTGTGATCTCTTAGGGGAGGGAGACCGGTGTGGAAGGGAGCATGTCTGGAAAGGAGGCCTTGAGGGCCACAGTCAGGAGCTTGGGCTCTGTCCTCAGGTCAAAGGGCCAGAGCTGGGTTTTGAAACAGGAGAGAGGCCTGCGCACTGAATCTGGGCCACACTCTGGCCACTGTGGTGTGGAGAGGGGATTGGGGGCCAGCATCTGAGCCCAAGGTGGAGGTGGCCTGGACTGGGCAGTGACAATGGGGACGGAAGTAAGGGGACAGATCCAAGAGACACGTAGGAAGTAGAATCAGTGGGATGTGGTGAGAGACGGAGAAGGGGATGGGTGAGGAAGAGCTTGGAGACCACCGGGAAGAAAGAACAGGCAAGATGGAAACGTGTGGAAGCTCTCTGAAACTGTTGAGGGGATCACGCATTGGGCCAAGTTGGGATTTGGGGAGAAGCGGCCGAAGACGCTAGTAATGGCCACAGAAACCAGCCCAGGGGATTCTCACGCCTCTCCTTTTGAAGACAGATCAGTGATGAAGTTCATCAAGGGTACAGATGGGCCTCTGTTCCAGGTGAGGGTTAAGGTCTGGGCAGCTCCTGTCCACATTCTCACTTGCCCTACAAACAACCACTGGGGTAAATAGGTAGGCTTGTGAAACCATCTCCCCCATTTCCAGATGGGTGAACTGATCCCGGAGATATCCAGCGACATGGTGAAGGCCCTACAGTGTGAGGACTCTGGGGAGCACAGGCCTCTAAGAGGCCCAGCTCAAGGGGGATTTTGCAAGTCTCTTGAGACCCAGAGGGAAGGACAAGGCGGGGGTCCCCTCTGAGCTGTTCCAAGCCACAGAGAATTTCCTTTTATTTGGAGGAAGCGGGAGTTCTTCTTTCGTAATGTGAATGTCAGAGATTCTGGACCCACCGGTGACTAAGAGTGTCTGGGGCTCGTGGGTGTCGCGAAGTGCTTAAATACTCGGCCCTCCTGTCATCCGGTGATTACAGACACCTGAGCTGGGACACATAGGACAAGAGCATGGCCAGCCTGAAGATTCTGTTCCTGGCTGTCCTTGTCCTCCTTGCTATGACACTTCAGGCAACTGAGGCAGGTGAGGCTGGGGAGAGGGAGGACTTCCCGTAGAGGCCAGGGTCAGACACTGGGGTATCTTCCTCATGTAGCGGAAAGAGGAGTGGACTGAGAGCAGATGACCCCGGTCTGCCGCTGGCTCCGGACTAGTCATGTGACTTCTCTGGGCCTCGGTTTACACATCTGTTAAATGGGTAGTCTTTTATTTTTTAGTTTATTATTTATCTTGACAGAGAGAGAGAGAGGGAGCATGAGCACAAGTGCTGTGCCAACAGCACAGAGCCTGATGCGGGGCTCGAACTAACAAACCTTGAGACTGTGACCTGAGTCGAGATCAAGAGTCGGATGTTTAACCGACTGCCACCCAGGCGCCCTAAATGGGTAGTCTTGAAGGCCTGGAGTCTAGGATCTGTCTCGGCTGGGTGGGGGGCTGTGGTGGACATGGCCTGCTGTCCTTCTACTCCAGAGAACTCAAGCATAGGTTGCTTGGGGTGTGGAGAAGGAGCCACCAGAAGGAGCCATGTGGGATGGGACAAGGAAGGAGCTGGCATGAGGGATGTCCCCTTGGAAAACTGGTCCTGCTCTTCTACCACTACATTTTTGCTCCAGAACCTGCCCTCAACACCGAGGCCTTCCCTTCCCTTCTCCATCTCAGTGTAAATCCTCCTGCCCTGTGTTGGATAAGGGCACGAGCACTGGGCTGGGAGACGGGCAGCCGTCTTTGGGTTTCCTGAGGGCTTTTCCTGCATCGAAGGCCCCATAACTTGGTGCCATTATCACCTCTTCCACCGGAGGAGGAAACTGGGCCTCGGAGACGTTAAATGACTTGCCCAGGAAGGCCTGGTGACTCAGGGCAGAGCAGGCCCTGTACCCAGGTCTGCATGACTGGACTCTGCCCTAGTCCTTATCCTGACTCTCCAGAGTCCCGCTGTGTGACTCTGGGCAAATCGTCTCCCTCTCTGGATCTCAGCCTCCCCGCGTGCACCGTGAAGGTCACGGGAGGCGTGAGCCGCAGCAGACTTCTTGGATTGCCTGGGGACTCGTCAAGACCCGCGTGGGACTCAGCAGGGCCGGGGCTGGGCGCCGAGCATTTCTGACAAGCTCCAGGTGACACTGATAGCGCTGGCCCACGGACCTCGCCTGCAGTAGCCGGGGCTTCGTCCTGTGCAGAGTCTCTGGGTCCCGCCTAGAGGTCCCGGGCATCGTTGAATCTCAGTGGTTGTGAATCCCCCTGCCTCCATCTGACCGACCCGGATCGGAGACACTGGGCCCTCAGTGTCCCTCAGAGACCCCGAGAATGGGGACTCCGGGGACTCGGAGTCCTCCGGGCACCGGCCTGCCACACGGGAACAGAAATGCCGGCTCAGAGGCTGGGGCTGAGAGCCACCCGTCTGTGCCCCGCCCGTGAGTCTTCTGCACGTCTCCCTCCTCCAGGCCCCTACGGCGCCAATGTGGAAGACAGCGTCTGCTGCCGAGACTACTTCCGCCACCCCCTGCCTTCTCGCATGCTGAAGTATTTCTACTGGACTTCAGACTCCTGCCGGAGGCCCGGCGTGGTGTGAGTACGGAGCTGGGGACGCAGGGGCTTGGAGAGCCTGCCGGGCTGGCTCAGGAGGGCCCAGGAGCAGGTGGGTGGGCAGACCCAAGGACGGGAGGAGTGCAGCTGGTCTCCGTCCTTGAAACGGCTCGGCCCAGCCTGGGGGTGTACCGAGAAAAAAAAAAAAAATC